GCTCACTTGGTTACTAGTGCCAAACCGTGCGAGGTCTCATATAAACATGAAGTCGATGATGCACTCCGTCATCGAGCTTCCCTGGCGCTGCTTTCTTCCAGATTGTGGTTCGAGTGTTGTGGTTGACAAAGTAGGACCGACTGAGCAGTGAGACGTGCCACTCACATCCAGGAATGATATTTCTTATGCTAGACCATGAGTGCCTCATTCCCAAATGTACTTTCTTCACTCATCTAATCGACTTCTGGCAAATGCTCGGGTCTGGGCATGTTGCCTTGGCGTCGTGCTTCACCATCCAACACATGGAACTTTTGCCACAGAGAAAGTGCTGTGGAGTTGGTCAACGGGCATCAGAGTTGAGCCATGCGGCTAACCTTATCAAAGTGTGGTGCTGTGCAAAGTCCGGCACAGTCCACTGTGGGTGGCGGATGCCTTGACTCGTCGATGAGCAACAAGCATCGGTGAGAAGGCGCGTCTAAAACGGCCGGCGGGAACGGCGGACTGATGGGGGCACGCCCCACATCAGGGCATTCGCGACTTCAGAGACCAAAGGACACCGGGGGCTATAGATTAGAAAGCACTGTCCTACATAGAGTATTCCTCTCAATGGAAAAAAACTGGATTAAAAAAAAAAAAAAAAAAAAAAAAAAGCATCGGTGAGGCTGACAAGGCTTCTCGTTCTACTTCTCTCCGTTTCGAACAAGATTTTGACTTGACATCTTCGTGTAGTAGGACACTAGTTTTCCGTATTTGTGTGGAGTGCCAAGTTGGGCAACTGTGCACGTGCTGCTGGCGGAAAGAGCCGGGAAGAAACCGTCAGGGCACACTCGTAGAGATCTGATCTTCGATTGTCAATGTTTGAAATTCAGACCTACCTGGCTCAAACACAACTTGAAGGCGCCCAGCGCAGATCTGCAGATCCGATCATCGCAGTAAGTCCGACGCTTCCAGTGTACATACACGAGGATTGTGCGTGTGCACGATTAAGGGCTGTGTTTCTATCTGCCCATTAAGTATCTCGACTCCTTTCCCTCTGACCCATCTAACCCACCCACCAAAATGCCCTCTCCGGATCCGCGCTCAAGGATTTGATTAAGAACTTTTTCAAGAATTTACATCTGGGCGAAGTATTCGCAGTTCGATCGAGGCGCCCCGCAAGAACGGACGTGCACAACGCAGCTTGACAACCATCCACCATGAACTTCGCGATAACTTCATCCCTGTAGATATCCCTAATGAGATTCCCGTTCCTTCACCCACTCTCCATTCAAATCCATCACTGCTAGTGCACCCTGATCCTCTGGCAATTTCCTCCTCTACTCCGGGGAATTCCTCTACCCGCCTCGGCAAAGCTTCTGACGTGGCTCAGACATTTTTGCCCATCGTCCAGGCCGTTACAGGTCCCATTCCACTTGTCGGTGCTCCAATCAATGCTACTATTAGTGGATTATTGGCAATCCTTCAAGTCATAGATGGTGAGAGCTTATTTTATTACCAGGATGTTTCTTAATTCGAAGGCCGTCACAGAGACGTAGTCAGAATAGGCGGACCTAGATCGCCTGGCGTCACGACTCCATCAACTAAGCTCACATCTGTGCAACGCTCCGACCAGCCAGGATCCCATTGAACAATACCGGAGGGATTCCATAATTAGGTATACGTATTCTTGATGTGTTCTTGAATTTACCTGACATCGAGTCGCACTTATGCTGCAAGACATATCGGCCCCAAGTAACACAGTTGTACAATCGTGGTCTTGCATACCATCTGTTGCGCAAGCTATCATCGGATGCTCCAGCGAAATCGACCGTTATCTGGCGGATTATTCGGTTGTGTTCTACTCTCTCAAGTGTGCATGCACTCATTATTCTGCTTTGTTAGTTGTCATCTCAAATGCAAATTCAACACGACATTCACGAAATGCGGAAAACTATAGAGAGGCAGCAGGAAACCCTGATCAGATTTGAAAGCGTGTTCTTCCATGGACAGTCTGTGGGACCGAATGTCACGCTTGGCTGTGTGAAACTGGTAGATGCAACAGACCACTTACATGCATACCGATGGACGTCTGTGACTCATTTGAGGTAAGGCCTCGTCATAAAATCTATTTTGTGGAAGCTAACTCATGAAATGTCTTTAGCGATTCAACGAGATGCTCCAACTTCTATTAAAACACGACTCGGTCGAGGCTCGAATTCAGAGACGATATATGGAGGCAAGGACAGTATGATCTGTGCATGGACGACGACAACCAAGTAACCCGACTTACGAGCCATGAATGGCCAAAGAATTACCGCAGGCATGACGATCGTCATGAGGGTCGTCTTTGAACGGGAGACATACACTAGAGTTGACTACAGTTGTCTCTTTTGCGGCGCTGTCAATGACGTTGGCGCCGGGTCAATTATGCATTCGATTCAACGCCAGGCTGGTTGCTCGATCGATTGGTGAGCATTTGTCTTCCGGCTGCTGACGACGCTTAACAAACAAAAGTCGAAATTGCAAACGACGATTTCAGATCTCCCTCGGGAGCTCCAGTGCAAAGCGAAACACACAATCCTACGACACCGACTCCGTTACCAGAACTGAAGAAGAAATGGACCTGATTCGCAACTTTCACGTCCAGGAGACGGTATGTTACCGTGAAACTTCGCTGGCAGTCTTAAACTGAAAGCTCAATGACCTTATATCCCAACCCAAACGCCGATGGTGCAATGGCCGTGTCCCGCTCTCAGTCTGTGCGTGACCTCGTCTTTTGACCTGCTTACCCGACGCTGATGGTTCAATGGCCGTGTCCCGCTCTCAGCGAGTGCGTGACCTCGTCTTTTGACCTGCTTACCCGACGCTGATGGTGCAATGGCCGGTTGTCCGCTCTCAGCGAGTGCGTGACCTCGTCTTTGACCTCCTTACCCGACGCTGATGGTGCAATGGCCGTGTCCCGCTCTCAGCGAGTGCGTGACCTCGTCTTTTCACCTGCTTATTGACACTGATGGTGCAATGGCCGTGTCCCGCTCTCAGGAAGTGCGTGACCTCGTCTTTTGACCTGCTTACCCGACGCTGATGGTGCAATGGCCGTGTCCCGCTCTCAGTCTGTGCGTGACCTCGTCTTTTGACCTGCTTACCCGACGCTGATGGTTCAATGGCCGTGTCCCGCTCTCAGCGAGTGCGTGACCTCGTCTTTTGACCTGCTTATTGACACTGATGGTGCAATGGCCGTGTCCCGCTCTCAGTTGGTGCGTGACCTCGTCTTTTGACCTGCTTATTGACGCTGATGGTTTCAATGGCCGTGTCCCGCTCTCAGTCTGTGCGTGACCTCGTCTTTTGACCTGCTTAACCGACGCTGATGGTGCAATGGCCGTGTCCCGCTCTCAGGAAGTGCGTGACCTCGTCTTTTGACCTGCTTACCCGACGCTGATGGTGCAATGGCCGTGTCCCGCTCTCAGCGAGTGCGTGACCCTCCTCTTTTGACCTGCTTACCCGACGCTGATGGTGCAATGGCCGTGTCCCGCTCTCAGTCTGTGCGTGACCTCGTCTTTTGACCTGCTCACTCGATCTTGATGCCCTGACAAAGTTCCGACCTGTCAATGAGGAAGCACGTGATTTCAATGCTGGTGGTGCTTCGACGACGGTTTATTCTCATAGGGTGTGATGTCGTCTGTTGAAATGTTTGACTGTTTATTGACCTTGACGGTGCCAGGCACACAATGTTCTTGGCCATGGCCCAATAATATCCCGCCCACCAGGTCACGTTTCACCCTCACACGGTATGTGATGTTATTTTTCCAAGTGAACAGCCAAATCTAACTTTTTCATTGCGCTGTGAGATGGTGCGTGTTTCCATATCAATCTATATTACAGCATCCCTTTGAGCTGATTGTGAATAGCAAAATATGGGTACAACCGCATTGGGGAGATCGAGGAAGACAGTAAACGATGATGAAGACGAGGATGGAGCGGAAGGCTTAGATGATGAAGAATGGGAGGATTGCGAGGACGGGAAGGATTCTGAGGAGACAAATCATTATGGCGAGCTTTAGATATGACATGATATGGCTACCCCTGTGCAACTGCAGACTCGGCTTCATATGCTTTCATGTTTTTCTCCCTGTGTGCATTGTGAATAGAATGTCATTCAGGTGAACCCAGTGTGTTCAAGCTCAAGGTTACTCTGTAAAATCCGTGTCAAATCTGCTGTGCCATGTACTTTTTGCTGCTGTCCGAACTACTCAATTTTCCATCCCGAGTGAGAAGTAGATTCGGACATCTATACAGTATATTTAGTTGAAACCTTGGAGTTGTATGCACTCCCAAACATTTCACATTAGAAATTGCATCTTAGGAGAGCTGCAGGAGCATATGGCTTGATCGAATCGGATTGATGTATGCATGTGCATGCAATACACGTACTGGTATCAGGATATGCAAAGTATATCATATTGGTGCATGACTCAATTCTGGCGTTTTATGTTTGACAATGCCTAGGTGGGTAGCGATATCTGAGCCGCATGTCAATTTGGAGTTAGAGGACCCGCCAGCCTTCGTCGATCTACCGTCACATTCACGGATTATTCAGAGCCATCCTTCTAGTATTTCCCGCATAAACTTGGATGCTGTGAATATCGATATCAATCATAGTAACAGCCGAGTCACTTGAACATACCCCTCGCAGATATTAGACGTAGGCTCCACTCATAACAGATATGAAGCTATCGCTCACATCATTGTTTCCATGCTCACTTAAATTGACCAATATTCCTGTTGTGGGATGACGTCAATGGGCAGTTCGAATGAAATCATCTGCGGTTCGAGACCATCATATCACAGGAGTATATCAAAACCTGAACCGAGGATAAGGAACCACTGACATGCCATGTACTTGCGTTGTCTTCCTACTTTTCAACGAGGCTCACTGGCAGTCACGGTGAGTTAACCTTGCTTACATCATGATGTTACGGCACTATTATTCGCTTCCTTGGTTGCTTGTCCCTTGCAGACCTTGTGCGAAGGTTGGCTCGGCTGTCAGCATTACCCAGGAAGGTCGGTATCAGGGTTATATTGGTTCATGGTCTATAATGCAACATTTCCGGAAATCCTTCTGTCAACCATGTGTCACAATCCTATTTTTGAGTCATGTCAACGTTGTGACGATTCTCAGTGTACACTGGTTAATGCAATACACGTTCCTTGTAACGTTAACCATCATGTATACTAATGCATTACTACCCCCCAGGTTGTTGTGGTATATCTGCATGCACTCCAATACCCCCCATCCTGATACGACCGTAGGGCCAGATGATCCCACTTGGTGGCCCCTCATCAGTTATTCTCTTCTTTACAGCTATTTTGTAGGTTCGTATAGAGCAATTTCCAGGATGCCAATGGTGATATCTCAACATTTTTGACTATCGCTTCGCAGCTGCAAGCTCTACTGTGATGGTATACGACTGGGGTAAGCGAGACAATATGTTCCGAGGGATCATTGATATATATACAGTATTTAAGCATTAACATTCGAGCAAGAGGTAAGTTGATGTCATGACCTGTGCAATTCATTAAAAATGCTTTAACAGTTCGAACTCATCTTGGTGAGCAACTTGAGTCCTACATTAGAACCAAACAGGATGATGCAGTTGACTCGGGGCAGAGGAAACGTTGGTCCTTCATGACCGTTCTTTATATTTGTGTACGTTCTTGCTACGAGCGCAGTTGGCATCATTGCGCTGACTTCAATATATGCTAGGTGCGCTACATTGGAATACTATTTGCTGTGTACGTCTGCAAGGCCATCTACATAACACTGCAATGTGATAATAAGTATATCTTGCAACCAGCATCAGTATCCTATGTATGTGTCCTCAAATGTGTTCGCTCCTTCTGACTGGCTGCATGCAGGGAATTTCCTGCGGTGCCTTACTACCGGTACCGACTTGACCGAAAATCATTCAAGTCATCATGATTGCTCGGATAAATGCCATGTATCGGGGATCGAAAAAGTTGCTTCTTTCTTGTTGTAGCCTTGCTAGCTTGCACGATCACCTCCGGAGTTTGATGGTAATTGGAACCCGGGGTATCTCAACACGTAAGTTTAAATTATCCATGAAGCTTGGATCACGAAAGACTCATGGTTATTTACTAGAGGAGACCACCCTTTCCGCCGGCTACCATATCTGCATCATCGAATTTGACACATCCATGATAAATTTGGATTACGAGAGTCTGGTATCCACTGCTGCGTGGGAGATCCTCAACTTGTTTCTCGCAGTCTGGATTGTCATACAGCACCCTGGAACTGCGACAATCGCCGATAGAATTGACCATCGGGGATTATTTCAGGATATAATAGAGAGTCACACATTTTACTTTCTAGCGTCAGTTCGGTTAGCCTAAGCTAATATCTTGTTTCACTAGAGTTCCGTATTTTATAGCTTTGCTGCTGTGGCTTGCTTCGAGCTTGGCGCACTGTCTCCAAATATTACGGTACGCCGAGCGGTGACTGGCATCTGCAGCTGATCACTCTCTCATCATTTCTCTGCAGAATTCTTTGTCCGTTGGGAGTGCTATTTACTCTGGGATTTGGTCAATCGCCGATGCATTGCAGATGTTTGTGCTGGGATCGCGTCTGATCCTCAGCGTTCGGGGATATCACGCTAAGGTCGTAGCCAGGGCCAACGGAGGAACAGGCATGACGTCCATTGCTTTCGATGCTGCTGGAGATACATTAACCAGCGGAGATGTGTACAGAGTGAAATGAACCAAACGATCAATCAGGGTTCTGTGCGGGGAGCATGCATATTGTTTGTTTCGTTGTGATATTTAGCGTCATCTCGCTATGTCTTCGGTGTTCTGACAGTCTATACTGTCATAATGATACATCTAATCTATTGTAATGACCAAGAAAAATAGGATATATTAATGAGGTGAACGAGCAGGTGCCTTTGAGCTACCGCAGTGATGTATCCATGGGGAGGATCTCATTCCGCTTCCTACCATTTTAGGTTATGTATCCGATACATTGATTTTGTAGCTTACTAGCTGTTAGGCTATCATACTGATCATCGCATCCGTTCGGCGGATCATACGAGCGCGAATGCCGATCAGCTCGTTGTTCTTGTACGTGATACCAAAGGAGCGTACACTTTGCGTCGGACAAATGCAAATGTATTGCTGATAGCTTAAAACTTGCTACGTTAAATCATTATTGGACTGGTTGTATTTGTCTGTGCTGATCTGGGAGTGGCGGGCGGGGGCAAAACTGAGATCTAGTAGCTAGAACTTAAAGTGAGAGCGACTGCGCAGTGCGAGGTGGGCTGAAGCAAGAAGCGCTGCGCCACATTGCACGTGATAGACTAGTATATCCTACGCTAGCCTCGTGCCTCGGCCAGCTCAGAAAGCCACTGGCACTGCCTTTCTTTCAACGAGGCTCAGTGTGGTAAGTTTCCTGCAATGAAGAGTAGTCAGAATACATCGTTTATTCGTGTCGTGAGTCGTGACTCTGATAGCAATTTC